CCCGCGAAGGCCCGGCAAACGCCCGGATTACAAGTATGCTTTAAATGAGCTTATTAAGATTCTAACAATCCTAAACTTTTTCCCCGATTTCCAGATGATTGACCGTCTGACGGGATGGCTGAAACGTCGCTCCGAGAACAGCCAAGTGACCTATTCTCGTTTCGGACTTCCCGGTGATGAGGTAGACGAGAGAGCTCCGCCCACGCAGATCCACGTGGCACACTTTGACGACGATGCTCCGGAATTCCGCGCCTTCTTCACGCATTCGACACGAGCGGCGGCGGTGGCGGCTGGATTTGGACTGTCGTGTTCGGTATTCTCATTTGTCATGTTCCTGTTCGAATTCCGATGGGAGGCGCACGGCGGTGGAGCCGATTTTGGGACGTTGAGTGAGTTTTGGGAAAAATTGAGAAAATTTTCAAATTGCTCCGATTCTGATAAAAATCGATATGACGACCTAAAATGATGTAAAAAACAACATCACAAGAAAAATTTTCGAAAAAATCGATAATTGAGAAACTTTTTTTTTTGGAAAATTTCGAAAAATTTCAAAACGCTCCAATTTTGATAAAAATTGATATGACGACCTAAATTTGTGTAAAACACAATATTCCGAAATTTTTTTCTGAAAAAATGGAAAATTGAAAAAAAATTTTTTGAAAAATTTTGAAATTTAGAAAAATTTCAAAATGCTCCGATTCTGATAAAAATTGATATGACGACCTGAAATTGGATAGAAATCAATGTGAGCAACTTTATTTTCAAAAAATGTGAAAATTAAAAAAATTTTTTTTGAAAATTTTGAATATTTCGAAAAATTTCAAAACGCTCCAATTTTGATAAAAATTGATATAACGACCTAAATTTGTGTAAAACACAATATTCCGAAGTTTTTTTCCGAAAAAATTGAAAATTGAAAAAAATGTTTTTTGAAAAATTTCGCTTTTTTCCAGTTGGCTCTCTTCTGTTCCTTATCATTGGAACTGTGGTCCATTGGCAAGTATTGATTGGAATCAGAAAGGAATCGGCGATGAATCTGATTCCAGCCATCATGGTCTACTCGTTTCTTATCATCGTTGAGCTGGTGATCTACATTCTGGCGGCGTAAGTAAAGAATTTTTCGAAAATTTTCAAAATCATTCAATTCTGACAAAAATTGATATGACGACCTAAAATCGTCTAAAAAACGATATCAGCATTTTTATTTTAAAAAAAATCGAAAATTGAAAAAAAAAATTTTTGGGGGGGTTTTTTTTTTAAAAATTCCCAAAATTTTTTTTTCCCAATTTTCGGTTTTTTTGAAATTCAAATTGCTTATATTGTTTTTCACACAATTTCAGGCCGTCATATCAATTTTTATCAGAATTGAACGATTTTGAACAATTTCGAAAAATTCGAAAAAAAAATTTTTTTTCAAAAATTTTTTTCTCAGGAATCACATCGTTAACTCGTCATTATTATTCACATATCCACCTGACAAGAATACGCCGACATTCCTGACACTATCAGTATTCTATTTGACAGTGATGGGGGTCCAGGCGGCAATGCTCCTATCGATTTGTAAGGCACGGACGTCTTTCTAAGCGAAAGAGGCACATCGGAAAGAAGTGCAGATCGCCGAGAATGGGGTACGGTAGCTTTTTTTTTTGGGGGGCTAAAAATCTCGAAAAATCAATTTTTAGTTGGTCAAATTCTCAAGGAAATAGGCTGAAATTCAAGAAAATCATAGAAATTTGAAAAAAAAAGATTTTTGGGAAAAAATCTGAAGTTTAGCCGCTAAAAATTGGTCTGAAAATCTGAAAGTCCATTTTCAGCAAATGGAAGAAAAATGGCTGAGAATTGCTCAATTTTGGGTTTAAAAAACAATATTTTTTCCAAAAAAATAATTCTGGAAATCTGAAATTTTGAGAATTTAGAAATTCTGAAAATTTCTGAATTTTTTTCAAATATTTCCAGAAACGCCAAAATCCGCAAATGCAAATTGTATATGTAAAGCCGACGGAAGTGATCGCCCCAATGACGTCAGACGCTGAAGCTACAGTACTCACATCACCACCGCCACGTGTCATCTTGGCGGCGAACGATGAGATTGCTTGATTTTCAGCCAAAAATTTGGCTGAAAATGAGCAATTTTGAGCTGAAAAATTGTCTTTAAAAATCGATATTTACCACTTTTTTGCCTCTCTTAATTACCCTAATTACCCTAAATAACACACTAATTGCTTTAATAATGTGGCATAATTTTTTTTTCAGATCCCCCAAAGAAAATTTTTTTGATCTTTTTCGATTTTTTACTCTTGCCCCGCCCCCTTTTTGTGCTGAAAATGTCTGAAAATGTTTCTGTAAAATGAATTTTTTGTGTTGATTTTCAAAGTTTCTTTTCTGTCAAATTCCTGAAAAACAGGCGTTTTGAAATGGTCCTGTTGCTGCCGGCGAATTGGTTTTCTAGATTTTTCTTTTTTTTTTTTAATTTTTCGAGTTTCTGGCTGAAAATCTGAAAATCAGGAATTTTTTGAAAAATTTGATTTTCTCTTTTTTTTTTGTAATTTAATAAATAAAAATCTTGAAAACCGCAAAAAATCAAAATTCCTGAAAATTCAAATTTTGGCTGAAAATCTGGAATTTTTCTAAAAATTCTAGAAAATTTCGAAAAGAAAATTTTTAAAGAATTTTCTTAAAATCTCCATTTTTATCTGATAAAAACGGAGATTTTCGAAAATTCTTTGCTATTAAAAATATCTGGGAATTTCTGAAATTTTAGCTGAAAATCTGAAATTTTTTGGATTTTCGAAAAAAAAATGTGAAAATTGAAAAAAAAATTTTTTGAAATTTTTTGAAAATTTTCAAATTGCTCCAATTCTGATAAAAATCGATATGACGACCTAAATTTGTGTAAAACACAATATTCCGAATTTTTTTTCCGAAAAAATGGAAAATTGAAAAAAAAATTTTGAAAAATTTCAAAATTTGAAATTTCGAAAAAAAACGTTTCCAGTAGTTTTTCTGAAATTTCCAGCTTTTTTTATGTGGATTTTTTAGTTCAAAATTGTTTTATTTCCAGCAGGTCAAAAAGTACAAAAAAGTACAGTTATATGAGTCAAGAGGAGAAAACAAATCCAGTTATGTACAAAAAGGTTAGTTTTTCTTTGTTTTTTTGGGGGTTCAAATGGTTGTAAAGCTTTGAAAATCCGAATTAAAAAAATAGGGAAAATGTTCAAACATGGCATTCTTGTTTGGTCGGTGGTTGATTATTATTGAAGACAATCTCATAGCGATGGTCCCATCCCAGAGATCCGGTCCAGCAGCTGCAAAAATCGATAATTCGATGGGAAATTTGAATTTTTCGGGATTTTTTAGCCCTAGACACTTTTTTTTTCCAAAATTTTAATTTTTTTTGTGTTTTAATCTACTGAACAATGTTCTGTAAAGTGCCCCCCATCGAATCCCACTAACAACATTCAATTTGATCCTAATTTGATAAAGACTACCGCTCAGAAATTGATTGGCGCCATCAAAAATCACTCATTGGAACGAACAAACGACGGAATAGGGGGATTACTGTAGACACAAATTTTGACTGAAAATAGTCAAAATTTCGGCTAGAACGGCTCAAAAACGGACCCAGAACGGACCAACTATGAACAGTGCAATTCTGACGGAAAATGGTCAGAAACGGACCGAAAACGGATTAAGAACAGCTCAAAAACGGCTCGAAAACGAACCAAAAACGGACCACCATGGAGTTTTGTGGTTTCAGTCCAATTTGGAAAGAAAATTGTCTAAATTTGGCTAGAAAGGCTTCAGGACGGCTCAAAAAGGTTCGAATAACTCAAATTTTGCCCATAAACGGATCAAAAACAGCTTTAAAACGAGTCAAAGTGAAGATTTAACTTTTTTAAAATGTTTCAAACTTTAAAAAGCTGAAAATTCCGAAAAATTGACTCTAAACAGTCCAAAAATGCGGAAAAACGACCTAAGGGCGGCTCAAAAACGGACCAAATCAAAGTTTTGGGGATCGGGTCGAATTCTGACTTGAATGAGCTGAAATTGCGGCTCAAAAACGGGCCAAATTGAAGTTGTGGAAATTTTGTCCAATTCTGACTGAAAATGGTCAAAAACGGTCTGAAAACCGGTCAAAAGTTATCAAAAACGGCTCAAAAACGGTTCAAAAATGGATCAAAAACCCACATATTCGAAAATGCTCCAACATTCGAAGAGATTTGGAATATCGATATTAGACTTCCAGATTTCTGAATTTCTGAATACCGAACTCGTGAAATTCCAGAATATTTGGATTCTTAGATTCTTAGATTCTTAGATTCTTAGATTCTTAGATTCTTAGATTCTTAGATTCTTAGATTCTTAGATTCTTAGATTCCCAGATTCCCAGATTCCCCCCAGCTCACCGAAAATAATAAATCTGCTTATTAATGGCCTTATCCTCAAATCCATCCAAATCCTCGAATTCCAATCTCAAATGGTCCATGGTCCTTCTATCGAACACATAACCACTCTTCACACCGTAATCCAATATCCGCCCAAGTGCCGCCGCTTGCGCCTTCGTCGCATGGATTACGATATCCGAGCATTTGGGCCAAAACGTGTCACGATCCGCAATGAATCCCGAATCGAGATGAAGATCCTCGTAGACGTCGTTGAATGCTTTCAAAATGCATTGAAATGCATACCATCTTTCGAGTGAGATATTTGACATTGATATCACTATCAGCTCGGCGATTGGAGCATCCATTTCGACGGTTTCAACGCCTTCGCGGAGCACTTCGAGAATTCCTGCAATTTTTGGGGATTTTTAATAGAGACCAAAATGGACCTAAAAATGTACCGCGGACCAGAAGTGGCTCAAAATTGACTCAAAAATTGACTCTGGTCCAAAAACGACTCAAGGGCGGCTCAAAAACAGACTAAAAACGTACCAAAAACGGACCAAGTCTGAATAGTTCATTTTTGGCTACAATTAGTCAAAAATCGACTAGAAATGCTCAAAACGGACTGACAACGGCTCAAAAATGGACCAAAGTGAAATTTTGTGATTTGAGTCCAATTTTAACGGAAAAGTGAAGACTTCCAGGATTCCTGGAATTTGGGAATTTCGATGGACGAAAAATAGCTCATAATGGACCAAAACGGACCAGAAATGGCTTAAGAACGGACCAAGAGTCTCCAAGTTGAAGTTTTGGTTTTTTCGTGTCGTATAGGGAGAACTCAAAAAAGCTGAAAATCCAAAAATGGCTAAAAACTGACTGCTGTATCGCTGAATCACGGAAACCAGTGGAATATCAGATTTCTAGATGCTGAAAACTGATTTTTCGAGTTTTGAATAGCTTGAATAGTTTGAATTCTCGGGGTTTTTAGATTTTCGGGTCTAAAACAGTCTAAAACGGCTCTAAGCCGGACCAAGAATGGACCAAAGGGAATTCGTAGAAGTTTTAAAATTTTGGAAATTCCAAAACTAACCCAAAAACACATAAAAATCGGCGACAACCCATGCGTCGTCAATGACCACACAAGCCGTATCTTCTTCGATTTTCACAGCAACATAGGCCTTCGAATGCCTCTCAAATTGCTCATCACTAGCACACGCTTCATCGATGTCTCGTTTTCTCAACTCCAATTTTCGAATCTTCTGGAATTTCTCATCCAAATGCTCCTTGACCTCCTTACAAAGTCTTGCCAACCGAATCTGCTCGAAAAATGACATTTGATCGATGATATGGATCATTAGATGCATTGGCATGTCGAATATCGGGTCCGAATCGTCGGGTTTTTCGGCATTCCGAAGAAAGCTGAGCAATCCGGAGGAGTTTTTCTTTAAGGGGTTGATTGATGACTTCTTTTTGGGCACTGCTGGTGGAGAGCGTGAGCGAATTGAGAGTTTGCGGAAGAAATTGTGCATTTTTGTCCTGAAATTTTGGATCAAGATGAGAGAAAATCAATAAAGGAGGACATCTCAATTCCTGTGAAAGATATAAAAAATGTGTCAACTGACAAATTGTTTATCATAATATCACCATTATTTTATCAGTTGACAGATTATTGATATCTCTTCCAGGAAGCGAGATAATTCAGCTTAAAGCATTAGAGCATATACGGTAGTGTGTAGAATAATACAATTGATCAATTTTTGATCCGCTTTTTTTGTACTTATCCGACTGATAATTTGTTGGTCACAAGGCTAAAGAATTTTCTAGAAGAAGGAAGAAGATATTGATAAAAATTAGAAGATTTACGATCATTCTACATAGAAGATAAGGAAAGAAAATGTTGAAAGATGAAATACCGCAAAACCTGTATTAAAAGGGCCCCCCACCCGAATTGTCGAGTTTGAGCAAACCTGAAGTTCAAGGGCCTGAAAGGTCAGCGATCCGAGAACCCAGGAGTTTAAAATTTCAAGAATCCAGAGGTAAAGAATTCGAGGAAGTGATTGAAAATTGACGATTCCAAGTATCCCAGAAGCTCAGAAATATTAAGATGCTCAAGTTTTGAGAAAACTGACCAACAACGGACTAAAAACGGGCTAAAAACAGACCAAATACTGACAAAAAACAGCTCGAAAATGAACCAGAAACGGACCAAAAACAGACTAGGAATCCACCTAGGAATTCAGAAACCTAGAAGCCTATATGTCCTGAATTCCAAAAAAACTGATATTCAGAAACTTGGAATTTTAGAAGTACGAAATCTAGGAAATCCTAAGGACGATGATTAGGAACATCCTAAGGAAGGGGCCCAAGAATTCAAGATTCTAGAAGTCTAGAATCCGAGAAGGCAGAAATTCAGGAATTTAAGATTCTAAGAACCTGGGAATCCAAGAATCTAGGAATCTAGGAATCTGGGAATACTAAGAATCTGGGAAGCCAAGAATATAAAGGTGTTCTGACCACACGACCATCTTCAAAAAGTGTGTCCAAGTGAGACTAGACGCCGTCCCCTCTCTCTCTCTCTTTCTCTCCTAATCTGATACTTCGTTTCCGCCCAAAATAAGCTCCGCCCCATCATTTTTCCCCAAACACACACACACACACAAGTACAACAACATTGTCTTGTGGGGTAGTGGTGGTGATTAGAAGATTTTGGAGAGAAGAAATACATTAGAAGAAGACAACCCAAGAATGATGGATCACATATGTTCCGTAGAAAAAAAGTGATCGGTCGGAAGATCGCGTTTTTGGAGAATCAGAAGGCGTCAAAGTTTACATTTGGACGAATAAGAATCGGCGGGTGGAACAATAGATAGGAGAGAAATGATGATGATGATGATGACGAAGAAGAAGCGGAAGGAGATGAAGAAGAAGAAGACACAACCACGCATGGTGGTCAAAAGTCACTTTTTTGATTCCCTTCTAGAAGACGAGAAGTGCAGGATTCTAGGAGAGTTGCCGGAATCCAGTTGCTCAGAAGTCTAGTATCCTATACCCCCCCCCCCCCGCAAGATTCCAAGACATTAAAATTCCAAGAACCTAGAAGCCTGACAACCCTGATAGAGACCTGGAAGGGTCTAGGGTAGAGTGAAAAACGGGCCAAATCCACCCGGTTTCTGAAATGCTTCAAATCGAACGATTTTTTGAAGATACCTAGATTTTTCCAACATGGTTCAGGTCCAAAAATCTTGACCATTTTGCCTCCCTCCCAACACTATATCTTCTATGAGAAAATGGTCTATCAAAGATATTTTTCAACGAAAAAGAAGATAACTATGTGTGGACTTTGAAATTCGATCGTATTTTGAATTTTAACCAATTTAAAACCAACTGGATTATGACCTAAATTTTAATTAAAACTAAGGACATCCGGACACGACGATCTACAGACGGTTTTGGTTGTGTGACAGTTTGTACCGGTTGATCGGCGGCTGATCAGCTGATCAGAAAATTCATAGAGGCAAATATCATGCGGAGTAAAAGTTCCGGTTTTTAACAAGAAGCATTCAGGAAGGATTACGGTAGCTGTACTACGGGATATAGCTAGAGAATTCTACAAGCCCCCATGAGAAAGGATTACGGTAGAATCATGAAACAGCGGGATTTCGGAGAATTGTACTGGAAAAAGGACCATACAGTAATCCTGAAAAAACAGGAAGATAAAAACGTCCCAAGCGGAATATCGGTGCATCGTACTGGGCTGGCTAGATGGATGTTTATTATATGTAGCGAGTGTCAGGTGCCTTACGGTACCATGTGACTCTCTTTTTTGTGTAACTACACAGAACACAAAAAAAACGCGAGAATGAATTGGCTACCAGAAAATACAGACAGGATTTTTGTGATTTTTCAAAGGTACCACCAATTATCATCATGTCTGTATAATTGGGAGACATTCTCTGACCGTTTGGAGTCAAAAAATCGGATACTAGAGTCATTCAGACACAAGAAGGTCTGAAAATTGAAATCTGAAGACTTGAAACTCTGAAAACGAAAGATTCGGTCAGATCTCCGCAAGAAATAGAGAATTTGGCTGAAATTTCTTCCAACTGAAGAATCCTGTTGAAAAACTGGATTTTAAGAGACATAGTCATCGTTGTGGAACTTGGAATTTGACGGAAATTGTGAAATAAGACAATTATTGGATTTTAGGAGATTTTGGGATTCTCAGGAATTCTGGATTATTGTACTTCTAGATTCTTGTATTCCTTGATTCGGAAATTCTCAGAAATGCACGATGTTGCTCAAGAACGGTTCAAAAATGGACCAAAATCAAGTAATGTTCAATTTCAAATCAAAATTAACTGAAAATCAGCCAAGAAATGGTCAAAACGGCTCAAACAGCCCAATACCGAACCACACACGGATTAATAAACATACCTTAAATGTCCTGAAACGGCTCAAAAACGGACCAAAATCGCTGAAAATGTCTACGAGGATCTCAAATTGGTCCAAAAACCGATCAGACCAAAAACGGACCTGGATGGCTTTTAAAAAAAAGCTGAAAGAGCTACTAACTGACCAAAAACGGACCAAGCATGGCTAAAAAGCCAGACGGCTCAAAACCGGCTCAAGAGCGGACAAAAGGGAAGCTTTGGCCCTTTTCAGTTACCCAATCAAAAAAGCTCTGCTCCGAAATTCGGAATTCCTGGAATTTTTAGATTCTGGAACATCATTTTCCTAGCTTCTGGATTCCCAGACTGCCGGATTTCAGATTTCCGGCATTTCAAGAAATTCGGGTACCTAGGATTCTTAGATTCCTGAATTTCTAAAAATATAGATTCCTAGAATTCTTAGAATCCTAAAACGTCTCAAAATAGAGACGACGAACGGACCAGAAACGGAACAGAACGTCTCAAATATGGACCAAAAATCGATCAAAAACAGACAGAATGACTCAAAATAAACTGAAACTGACTAAAAACGGCTCAAAAACCAACCAAAATCACTGAAAATGCCTAAGAGGGTTTAAAAATGGTCCAAAGCCCACCATACCAGAAACGGACCAGATACAGCTCAAAAACAGCCCAATGCGGCTTCAAAGCAAACCAAAATAGCTACAAACGGACCCAAAACGGCTCAAGAGCGGACCAAAGGGAAGCTTTGGCCCTTTTCAGTTAACCAATCAAAAAAGCTCTGCTCCGAAATTTGGGATTCCTGGAATTTTTAGATTCTGGAACATCATTTTCCTAGCTTCTGGATTTCTAGAATCCCGGATATCTCATTTTCCAAAATACCAAGATCCTTGAATTCTCAGATTCCTGAATTTCTGAATTATCGTGGATTCCTAGAATTCTTAGAATCCAAAAACGTCTCTAAAAATCGACAAAAATAGACAAAATAAACATTTTTGATTTCCCAAAACTTTGGATTCTCCTTATTTATAGAGAGACACACGCCAAGCGATGATGATGACGGTCATAATTCGAATCACATGGTACTATTCTGAACCGTTTGGTCCAAAATCATATGTTTCTTATTTCTTCCAACCAAAATAAACAAATAAGCTCATCTTCTGAAAATTTAAAAAAAAATCACACTTCCGGTTCCACCCGTTTTTTAGAGGAAGTTTCTCTTAAAAACGAGTCATCGGGAAAAAAAATAAGGGACACAATTGGCTTAATTCGATTAGCCCATTATCAAATGATATCACTTCTTTATTCATGATTCAGAAGTTTCCTGACGTCATCTGACTTCAGATGACTGACTTGAATATTCAAATTCAGCGAATCAGCTACAGTAATCCAAATGATCGAAAATCGAATTTTCTTCTCGATTTTCTAGAACCCGTTCCCAAAAATAATAACTGTACACAATTTTTGTTTTAGCGAAATTGTTGGTTTTGGAATCGACTAGAAAATACATTTTCTCTTTTGCAGAAAAGGGGCGGAGCTTGTTCATTAGAGAAAAGAAAGAAGTGATGAAAGATGAGGAACGGAAGACTACAGTACTCTAAAAACTGGAATTTCGAAAAAATCCAAAAACTGGAATTCACGGATTTTCAGAAAAATCCGAGAGCTGGAATTTTGAGTTTTTCAGAGAAAACTCAAAAACTGAAATTTTTCAAATTCCAGAAAAGTCTAAACGCCTGGAATTGTTCAAATTTTCAGAGAAATTCGAGAACTTTCGAAATTTGGATTTTTAGAATTTTCAAAAGTTTTCAAAAAATTTTGAATTTCCAATTATTCAAAATCTGGGTTTTTTGCATTTTCAGAAAATGGAAAAATGGAATTTTCGGAAAATTTCAAAAATTTGGAAAATGGAATTTTAGGATTTCCAGAAAATCTAGAATTCTGGAATTTCCTGAAAATTCCAGAATTGAATTTTTCGATTTCTAGAAAAATCATAAATCTGGAAGTTTGGGGTTCCTAGAAAAAGTCCAAAAATTGGAGTTGTTGAAGAATTTCAAAATCTGAAATTTTCGTTTTTTCCGAAAATTCCAAAAATTGGTAAATCTGGAAAACTCGAATTTTCGAATCTAGAAATTTTGATTGCAACGACACTCCGCAATGCCGCTCCGAACCTAAATTACTGTACTTTTAGTTAGGGGACCGAGCACATTTGAAAAGTACTGTTTTGGGATTCCAGAATGTTCTGAAACACAATTTTCCGAAATTCGGAATTTCAGAATCTTCATGACGCTTCCAGATGATGCCATATACAGTAAGACCAAATGATAGGCGATCTTTGAAAAAGTATCGGGTTCACCTATCATCTCTCCTCGACAAGAGACCAGATGTCCGCGACGAATTCTATTTTGGAATCAAGGAGGAAACGAGAGAGTGTGAGGAGAGGGGAGACGCAGAGAGGAAGAAGAAGATTTTCAAAGAGAGGTATCGAAAGATCAGATGGTTTAGAAGACGTTTTTTATTGGAATCTAATAGTAAGGGATTGTGGAGAATCATTTGATTTTCAAAAATCTGAGATTTCTGAAGTGCTGAAGGTCTAGATTCCAGAAATTTGAAAATTCTGAATTTTCAAAGAAACATGTACTTTTTATAGAGGCATTTCTGAAAATTTGCATAATCTGACAACTGATTTTTCGAGAGAAACAAAAACAGACACAACAGATGAAACGTCATCTATGGAACATTCTGGAATTCTATTTTTAGACTTCGAGACCAAAATCTCAGTTCTGAGATAATTACGAAACTTCTGGAAATCTAGATTTCTATAGATTCTCAAATTCCTAGAATTCGGAAAAAAACAATTTTATAGAAACACCACATTTTTTGTAAAATTCTGATGTTTGGACTTCAGAAGACCTTCTTTAGAAGACGTCAACGAGGAATTTTTGAAAAAAAGGAAGACAGTGGTACGGACACCTGTTACATTACAAAAAAACAAATGTATGATATCAGTGACGAAAAAGAGAAATAGCACAAGAATAGAAGAGACGCAGAGAAAAGAGGAACCAGCTGATGGGAGAGAGGAAGAAGCTGACGAAGAAGAGGAAGTGGGACAGGAAATGAATAGGAATTCGAGGAATTCAGAAGTGTGTTTCTTTTTTGTAATAGAGAAGATTCTAGAAGATTCTTGCGAAAAAGAAGAAGAAGAAGAAGAAGAAGCCGAGGGACCAAAAATAGGAAAATCAATAAAAGCGGTCTGAAAGTTTGCTGAAAATGGTTCAAACTTGGACCCAACACACAGAAGCAAAGGATTCTGGAAGTCTGAATATGCAAAAGTCGTTGTTTTCAACTTCTTTCATCCTTTAAATACCCTCATTGTGATCTTCATTGAACTCAAAACGACAGATAGCATCTTGATCGATCAAACTTCCCTAGAAGTCTCAAAGAAATCAAAATATGCAAATGACGTGTTGATGGCTGATTGATCTGAAGACGTCATGGAGAAGCGAGGTTTTTTGAGAATTGTGCTAATCACCCAATGTCACAAGAAAAAAGATATGATCTGTATTAAAATGCATATTGAGCATTTGGCGGGAATTCAAATTTCAAAACTTGTCTGCGGCGGCATACTGTAGCGCTGGTCAATAATGGAGATCTATAGGGGATGGAATCAATAGAGTAAATTTGTCTTCCCTGAAAAGTTTCATAAATTGTGAAACTTATCGTAAACCCTGTATTAGAATGCCCCCCCCCCCCCCGCAGGTAAGTCCCCTGTAAAAACTCTAATAGAACACCACCCGGACCGTCCACTTTGAGCATATATATCTCACTTTTTTTGAATGATATCAAAAAGTTGTCATCTGATAAAATGTTCATCATGATATCAGCTACATTTTATCAGTTGACCACTTTTTGATATCTCTCACAGAAAATGAGATACATGGGCTCGAATTCGATTCTGACCATCTTTTCAAGATATTCATGGACCAACCAAAGCTGCCGAAAAATCGGGACCGCGGTCCTCAGGGACCAACAGACAGTATGTCTGCCTGATAACGTCTTCTAGAAAGAAGGCAATAGATCAGAAACAAGAACAAGTAGAACATCAGAAACCGATGACGTCATCAGACACTGATTTCGTTAAACAACACAGTAAAAATGATTTTATTATTATTATTGAAACAAATCATATTTTTAAAAAACTTTGAAAAACAAAAAACGGCTGATATATGTTCATCAATCAACTACAAATCATTTTTTATCATCTACAGTAATCCCAAAGTCTGGAGACTGCGTTTTGGTCTCAAGAATCCTTGCTTTGTAGAGATGAACTTGGTTACAATACCAGAAATTCTTGATTTGGGGAACTTTGGAATTTGATCATCTACAGTAATCCCAAAGTGTCTACAGACAGCATTGTGGATCCAGAAATCCCAGTGAACTATGAACTACAGTAATCCTCTAAAAACTAGAAATGTTATTCTCTGATAAAAGTATAAATAATTGTTGTCTTCTTTTTTGAATTAAAAGAACTAAAAATCATATGACCGGATGTGTTGACAGAGTGGAACGATGAACTTTATTTTTGTGTCTATTTCTGAAAAAATGAAATGCAAAACATAGGAAAATAGGAGAAGATTTGAGGGAAAAAATGGAAAATAGAATTTTTTTGAATTTTTTGAAAAAAAAATTTGTTTCAAAAATCACTCTAATAGAACACCACCCGGATCGTCCACTTTGAGCCTTTATATCTCACTTCTTCAGAATGATATCAAAAAGTTGTTAACTGATAAAATGTTTATCATGATATCAGCAACATTTTATCAGTTGACCACTTTTTGATATCTCTCAGAAAAAATGAGATACATGGGCTCAAAGTAGACGGTCCGGGTGGCGTTCTGTTAGAGTGTTTACGGTACTTCCTTAAATCTTTTTTTGAAAATTTTGAAAATTCAATTTTTCCAGAAATCCACATGGTTCGGAAGCGTCTCCTTTGCCTCGAACCACGTCAACCTCGACGTCTTCTCTCCGACGTCTTCTGAATTATTGGAATTCAACGATGCCATTGATGACGTTGCATGCACACATCTCCACGTGGCGATTCTGATGAGCAATGGCAAGAAATTGGGAATTCGACGAATCGATGATTATAGAAGAGAATTCAGAATTCTGGAGCTACCAGAATCTGAATCCTCGTTTCTTCTAACAACTTCCAAAGCGATTTATGTGGTTCGCATGAAGAATGAGAAGACGTCGGAGATTCTGAAGATTCTGGAAAATTCAGAAGACGTCGAAATTCGAAATATTGATTTTCCATGGCCAGTGAAAATTATGGAAGCCAGAGGAGGGCATGATTTTTGTATTTTTCGAGATTCCGCGGGGAATTTGTTCTCGATGGGCACTGGAACGTAAGGGATTCTGGATTTTATGAGAATTTTGAAAAAAATTCTAGACAAAATTTGAAAAAACTGAAAATTCCAAAAATTCCAAAAAAGTGGAATTTTGAAAATTTCTGAAAATTTTCTTAAACTTTTGGAAAAATTCAAAAATTTCGGAATTTCGAAAAAAAACTTATATTTTCCGAAATTGAAAATTTTTGAAAATTTAAAAAATTTTTTTTATGTGAAAATTTTCATAAAATTTGAAAATTCCAAAAAATCTGAAAATCTGAAATTTTCCAGCCGCGGAGAACTAGGAGTCGGCTTAATCCGTCGCTTGGACGAACCCGTGCACATTGAGCACTTGGCGGGAATTCAAATTTCGAAATTTGCGTGCGGCGGATGGCATACTGTAGCGCTGAGCAACGGTGGAGATGTCTACGTATGGGGATGGAATCGATACGGATCATTGGGACAGAATCAGGTACTGTAGTTTTTGAAAAATTTTAAAAAATTTAAAAATTTCATTTTCAGTCCTCTACTGAAATGTACCCAACGCTCCTGGACCCTTCTGAAGACGTGGACCAAAGCCTATCTCCAGATGAAAATATTGATGACGTGGCAGCCACTGAATACAGTACCCGGATTACTGTAGGCTCCGCCCACTTTTCGATTGGAAGTGATAATGAGAAGATTAATGATTTTGAGCTATAATTTGATTGTTCTTTTTGTCGATTTTTTTCGAATATTCTTGTCATAAATTTTTTATTCTTGATTTTCTCTTTCAGATAGAGAAAAAAAATTACAAAAATCGGATAAAATTAGCCAAAGGAAGAGGTGGCCTAATTTTTTCCGGATTTTCTAGGTCATCGGCTCCGAATTTAAAAAAAAAATTATTTTCATTGAATTTGTCTTTCAAAGAGCTTCAAAATGAGCCTAAACATGACCCATTTTGCTTTTCTCTCAATTTTTTTGGGCCCATGCGCCTTTAAATATAGGACCGCCCAAAATTGAAATGACCATAGCTCTTTTAGTTTTTGACCAATTTCTTAGAAAATTATATCAGCGTGTTTGTCTTGTAAAGAGCTTCAAAATGAGTATAATCTTGAGGTACTTGTCCTAGAAAATTTTTTTGGGTTTCTAGGCCACTCAGCTAAAATGCCCATAACTTGGTTCAAAATCGATATTTTCAAATTTTGAAACCACTTTTGGATTCAGCGTGTTAAGCGCTTCCAAATGAGTATAATCATGCCTAGGGTTTCAAAATTTTGGATTACTGTACTTTTTCGTGGTGGGACCCCATTGAAAATCGAAACAGAGCAAATATAGCCATGTTTATACTCATTTTGAAGCTCCTAACAAGCCAAATTCAAAAGTAAAAATAGTTTCTCAAAACATTGAAAATGATGGCCTAGAAATCCCAAAAGCCTTGTATTTCTAGGCCGTCAAACTCAAAATGCTCTAACTTGGCTCATTTTGGTCGGATTTTGACAATTTTTGTCGGGTAATTTGGGAAATTTAGTGGGATACAAATAAAATAGGAATTCAGTGCAAACAGGTGGCCTAGAAAACTCTTGAATCTCAAAAAGTTAGGCCATCCCCTTCGAAGGACTCTAACCCGGCGAATTTTGGGCGGATTTTAGCGATTTTTGCTGAAAATTTTGGGAAATTTAAATTGAAATTATACAAATTCGTTCAATCATTCACAAATCATACACGGATCACTGTATTTTGGATGATAAGACCAATTTGTATGATCCATCCAAATTATCAGTATTTTCTGCCAGTCAAAACTTCCGACTACAATTTGACAACGAAAATGTTGACCCCAATGTAGTCACACTTTTTGAACTCGAAGACACACTAGACTAAAAAATACTAGTAGATCAAAAATTATTTTTTCATAGTTTATAGACCAATATCCGTAATTTTCAGTGTGATTGATGACAATTTTTGTATGATAAGAATCCAGAACAAAGTGTGTCCGAATGATAACAAAAAAATGTATAAATTAGGCAGTTCTAGGCCATTTTTAGGCTCGAAAATGCTCCAAACAGTGTCAATTTGTGTCCTACTCGTGATCATTGGGTGCTCCATGGCCAAGCACGTGGAGTTGCCGGCTCCATACACGGATCATTGTATTTTGGATGATAAGACCAATTTGTATGATCCATCAAAGCAGTTTGATATACAATGGTAGGTCAGGGAACTTGAATTTTTCAAAAATTCCAATTTTGAGTCGAGTTATGAGCAATTTTCATTATGGCCTAGAACTTTAACGTTTTTGGGTTTTCTAGGCCACCAGTTTCATTTTAAATTGAAATTAATTGAATTTTTGAATTCAACTCGGTGAGAGCTTCAAAATAAGTATAAACACGACCCAATTCGGCAAATTTCGATTTTCGACTTTAAAGGCGCTGGACCCTACTGGAGAAATCTAAAAAACCGTTTTCAACCGAAATAGATGATATTCAGGCTCATTTTGAAGCTCTTGAAAAAATTCACTTTACGAGCTTAGTTTCATCAAAATTGAACTAAATTGAAGAGAGTTACGGTAGATTGAAATATTTGTGGTATGACCTGAAACTTTCTGAATTTTCAATCTACCGTAACTCTGTTCATTTTTGTCTGAATTTGATGAAACTTAGACTGTTATGTGTATTTCATCATGAGCTTCAAAATGAGCCTAAACACCATACGTTTTGGTTGAAATCGATTTTTCCAAGGGTCCATGCGCCTTTAAAGTCAAAAATCGAAATTGTTCAATTTGGGCCGTGTTTATACTCATTTTAAAGTTCTTAACAAGCTGAATTTAAAACTCGTTTTGGAAATGTGAAATATCAATTTTGAAACGAGTTACGGTCATTTTAAGTTGGTTGCCTAGAAACCCAAAAAACATTTTTCTAGGCCAAGCACCTCATGATTATACTCATTTAAAAGCTCTCTACAAGACAAACCCATTGCTATAATTATCTAGAAAATTGGGCGAAAACTAAAGAAGTTGTGAGAATTTCAATATTGGGCGGTCCTAACTTTAAAGGCGCATGGACCCAAAAGAATTGAAGGAATAGCAAAATGGGTCGTGTTTGGGCTCATTTGAAAGCTCGTTACAAGACAAATTCAACGAGAATATCTTTGAACTAGAATTTTGACCATGTGGCCTAGAAAAACCCGGAAAAATGTTAGGTCACCGCTTCCGAAACTTAAAATGGCCCTAAACTGGTCGACTCTTAACCGATTTTTGCGCAACATATCTTGTTTTTTGGCTCATTTCAAAGCTCTTAAACAGCCAGATTCAAACTCTTAAAAATTCCAGGTTCGACATCAACCTGGACCTTCCGCCATCCGAACGTTGGAAACAGGTGGCCGAAGCCTACAAGGTGCAGATCAAAGAGCTGATTGGAGTGCTGATTGAGCTGATCTCTCCGATTTTTCCAAATGCCGTTGATTGGGCAGATGACGTGTTTGGAGAGATGGCACTGAAACTTCCACAACCCTATCGAGACGAAATTATGAGCATTTCTCAAGTGACGGAATTCCATTGGGACAAATCACAATGTACAATGTTTTCTACGAGATTTTCACTGTTTGCACTTCGATCATTGCTCAGGATAAGGATGGACATTTGACACACGCTAGGTGGGCTTCAGGATACTGAAAAATGATGAGAATCTGATAAAAATTGACCGAGCTATGGCCATTTTTAGATTTGGAAGAGGTGACCTAACTTTTTCTCGGATTTTCTAGACCATACGTTGAAAATGTTGCTTTGAAAATAATTTTGTTGAATTTGTCTTGTAACAAGCTTTCAAATAAGTCCAAACACGACTACTTTTGCACTTTTTGGGTCCATGCGCCTTTAAATTTGGGACCGCCCGAAATTGAAATGTCCATAACTTCCTTCAAAAATGAAGTTTTTTCAAAATTCAAAAAGTTTTGAATTTATCTTGTTAAGCGCTTCAAAAAAAGCGTAATCATGCTAGGGTTCCAAATTTTTCAGATTACTGTAGTTCTCGTGGTGGGACCCATCGAAAAATCAAAGTGAAGCAAATAGGCATGTTTATAGTCATTTTGAAGCTCTTAACATGCTTAATTCAAATAGATCATTAGTTTAGGAAACTGGGAAAATCGGTGGCCTAGAAATTCCAAAAACTATGAATTTCTAGGCCAACAAGTTAGGACTGCTATAACTAGGCGGATTTTTGTCGGATTTAGCTGATTTTAGTGTCAAAATGTAGGAAATTCAATTGTCTTTAGAATAAAATAATTCATATAATGCATATGGTGGCCTAGAAAATTCTTGCATCAAGAAAAACCGAACTTTTTTCCAGATTTTTTTGGCCACTCGTTGGAAATTCGATATTGAAAATGCTTTTATTAAAATTGCCTTACGAGCTTTTAATTGAGCTTAAACACATTTGGTCGGATTTAGACGATTTTTGTTGGGAAATTTGGGAAAAATATATTAGTGTGTTTGTCTTGTAAAGAGCTTTAAAATGAGTATAATCATGACATACTTGGCCTAGAAAAATATTTTTGGGTTTCTAAACCACGGTGCTAAAATGCCCATAACTTGGTTCAAAGTTGAAATTTTGAAGTTTTAATACTAGTTTTGAATTCAGCTTGTTAAACGCTTTAAAATGAGTATAATCATGCCTAGGGTTCCAAAATTTTCAGATTACTGTAATTTTCGTGGTGGGACCCTTCAAAGAGCAATTATAGCCATGTTTATACTTTGAAGGTCTTAACATGCTATACTAAAAAATTGCGAAATTTCCAACAAAAACAACTTGGTGGCCGAGAAATCTTGAAAAACTGAAATTTCTAGGCCATCCTGTTCTAATTGCTTTAACTTGGCTCATTTTTGTCGGATTTTGATAATTTTTTTTCAAAAAAAGTCGGGAAATTTCAGAAATCTCGATTTCGGATTATTCCTGGGTTGGGATCCAGTGGCTCACGAATGGCAAATCTCCCAGAAACTTCGGAAGATTATAATCAATGTCAATTGGATAAAAAATGGAAAATTGCTCTTTAAATCCAACAATTTCGCTGGATATGTTGGAATTTATAATGGATTAAAACCGGGTGCATTTTCATTGACTGCAAATGAGCGATATCAATTGGAAGGCGGGTATTACGGTATGCTGAAATGGGCATTTGGTCTGGAAGCCGACGGAAAATGGATGTCATGGTTGGCAAGAGAGACTTTTGAGCTCAAAAATTGTAAGTTCAAATTTTAATGTAATTTGGGTACTGTAGCCAGAGAAATTCCCAACATTTTGGTGTAAAAATCATGAAAATCCGTTGAAAATGAGCCAAGTTACAGTAATTTGAAAGTTTTAAAATTTCGGTGGCCTAGTTTCAAGGAAATTTTTGGTTTTCTCGGCCACCACATGTATTTTTATGCAAAACATTGCAGCTAAACAAATTTAAAACGTCGAGAGCTTCAAAATGAGTATAAACAAGCCTATTCTTTCTGAATTTTGATTTTCAATGTGTCCCACCACGAAAAGTACAGTAACCCGAAATTTTGAAAAGTTAGCCTTGCTTATACTCGTTTTAAAGCTCTTAACAAGCTGAACTCAGAACTGGTTTTAGAACTTTGAAACTTCGATTTTGAAGAGAGTTATGAACGGTCCCAAATTTTTAAAGGCGCATGGACCACAGAAAAAATATTGGGCGGTCCTAACTTTAAAGGCGCATGGACCCAAAAGAATTGAAGGAATAGCAAAATGGGTCGTGTTTGGGCTTATTTGAAAGCTCCGCACTAGACAAACAGAATGAGATTATTTTCAAACTGATGTTCTCAACTTATGGCCTAGAAAATCTTAAATAAAGTTCGGCCACCCCTTCCATTTCTAAAAATGACCATAACTTGGTCAATTTTCATCCGATTTTTATCATTTTTCAAGTTTTCAGCTTATTTGGATGCTAAGGAGCACTTGATGAACACTCCAATGCTCTCACCAGTATATTACATTCTTGGCGGAGTCAATAAAAACGAAGGATGCATTATCACGAGATCCCTCAATGGAACCGCTCTTCTCACAGAATTAGCCGATGCTAAGAATGGATGGTATCTCTTGCAGACCAATTATGATCAGGATCAGCAGGTAATTAACTTGAAATTCGAATTCAGCGCGTTGAGTGCTTTAAAATGAGGCTAAACACGACTGGAATCGGTCAAAGTTGAAATTTGTCCTTAAAGGCGCATGGACCCCTCAAAATCTTGAATTTCCCAAAAGTAGGTCATGATTATACTCATTTTGAAGCTCTTAGCAAGCTAAACCTAACACTGTTTTTAAAATCTTGAAGTGCCGATTTTGAAGCGAGTTACAACCATTTTAGTACTTTTAGGTTGGTGGCCTAGAAAACCCCGGAAAATATTTTCTAGGCCAAGTAGGTCATGATTATACTCATTTTGAAGCTCTTGTTAAATCAAAAACTTTGGTATAAATTTTATGTAATTTGAGTCAAAAATGTTGGAGCTACGGTAGTTTGAAGTTTTTTTTTTCCAAAAAAACGATTTTTTTAATTTTCTCATAACTTTTGTAATTTTCAACCGATTTTCAACATTTCTTAACTGAAATGTGTGAAATTTAATTTTCTACAAAATAATTATAAATTGAATAGAAATAGATGGCCTAGAAAATTCTTAATTGCCAAAAAGCTAGGCCACCTCCTTTGAATGACTTTAATCCGGCTCTAACTTGGCGCATTTTGATCGGATTTTGACGATTTTTATTGGAAAATAATTGAAATTTGATTTCGAATCGAACTATAATATTGAAATATGAAATTTAAACAGAAAAATTATAAAATTTGAACTCAGGATTGAATTGGAAAAAATTGTTAAAGTTTCCGTGGTGGGACCAGCCTCTAAATTTAAGCTACCGTAACTCTCTTCATTTCTGTTTAATTTTGATAAAATATATATCAAATTGTGTATTTTTTCTTGAGCTTCAAAATGAGCCTAAACACCATTGATTTTGGTGAAAATCGATTTTTTCGATTTTTCCGAGGGGGTCATGCGCCTTTAAAGTCAAAAATCGATTGTAACCGATATAAGTCATGTTTAGGCTCATTTCAAAGCTCTCAACTAGCCTAATTCAAAAATTGAAATGATTTTGAACAAAATTAAAAGTTATGGCCTAGAAATCTAGAAAACTTCAAATTTCTAGGCCATCAAAGTCAAAGTGCTCTAACTCGGCTCATTTTGGTCGCATTTTGATCATTGTTGCGGGAAAATGGTTGAAATTAAATTTAAAACAATAAAATGCAAGTTCAAATTCAAAAAATAATTTGAACCCAGGATTTGTACTTGGACGATCGTGACACTCCAGGAGACCGTTGTATGGACAAATTGAGCCAAAAGAACGCGGGATTCCAAGGAGTATTCAATGTTCTCTCATCGAGAACCAATTTGAATAAACTGACAACGTATACTGTACTCATGTCTGTCGAAACCGCCCGTTTCGAAACGATCCTTCAATCGTGTCCCGGCGAATGCTATCCATGGTAGATTGCTCTGAATACATCAAATTTTGCTGGTTTTAATTAATCAATAAATCAGTTTGCATGCATTTTCTCACATTTTGCCACAAAAATCATCAAAATCCAGCCAAAATGAGCCGAGTTAGAGTCATTCGAAGGCAATTTGAATTTGTTAGCCTAGAAATTTCACTTCTCTGGATTTCTAAGCCACCAGTTCTATTTTTGCTTACCAAAAGCTGACAATTTGAATTCAGCATATTGAAAGCTTCAAAATAAGCCTAAACACGACCCAAATTGGTTAAACTTGATTTTTGACTTTAAAGGCGCAGGAAACCCCCCCCCCCCCCA